AATATTTTTATTTCTTTTTTTTTAAATGAAGTAAAAAAATTTGTCTTTTGTGCTTTTGAGATAGAAGGAGTGAGGCAGAGAAAGAGTAAAAATAGGTTTAGTATTTTTTTATAAGATAATTTTTTAAATTGTAAAAAGGTATATTTGTCTAATCAACTTTTTTTCTTATTCCTCAAAATTTGGAATAGCCATTCCTAAGGGGGGCCTTGGTAATGGCTATTCAGGCTTCTCTTGGAATGGCTATTCCAAATAATAGTTATTCCATCGAACCAAATGCAGCTTTATCTCAAGAATGAAAATAAGGAAGGAATGGCTATTCCATTCCCACCAACCAACCAAGCATGCTCTAATAGAGTCGATTACAAGATGTTCAAATTGCTTTAAAACGAGTTCTTCATAAGCATAGTCAACTAGAAACTTTTTGTAGTCAATTACAACAGTATTTTCTAGTCTTTCAAGTTCAAAACATTTATAAAAAAAAGTCTAATTCACTTCCTTATGGACATCTTTGCCACTTGTACATGGAGCTAACGTTTCTAATAACATTCACGCCTCTACCACAATAAAGTTGTATCCACTAGGTACAATGCGACAATATTAATACACGTGGCATCTCCATGATCTCTATGGCTCGAGAATTCTACTCTAGACTCCATAAGAAATTATCAACCTTTTTGACATCTTTATGGCCTCAAAACTACTTGAGCACCTTTAGCTTTTCCTCATCTGGATAATAGGCACTCCACCCTTTTCTAGTTGTCTTGAGTGCAACAAGCTCATCCTTAAAACCACATACCTCGTTCCTCAACATCTTAATCAATTTCTCTAACATGGCATTCCATTGGTTTAGCATGTTTATTAATTCGTTAAGGGTTGATTGCATTTTGCCTCATAGCTCATTCTTTTTATATCTTAACTCTTCGATGCTAGCTTAGACCTCATTGAACCTATTTATCATTTCTTTCATGATTACTTTCACCTTCAACATCCGACGGTCTAGAAAGGACAACATGCTTCATGAATTAGATTTGCTACACTTGGCTGAACCTCGAGTCTCCCTTACTTCTTGGGTAAGTGTGAATTGGTTAGGTACTGAAGGCATATCTTTCTTTCATCGAGTAAGACACTTTGATACCAAATTGTCACAAACTAAGTAACTTAAGCACAAACTATGTGACCTTAAACCATTCTCGCTAAAATCAGCTTAAGTAAGTCTAACTCAAAACTAGTCAAGAGCCCAAGATTCTTCAAGTAACAT